TGTATTGTTAAAAGCGCTATATAAATAAAGGTGACTTGACTTGATTAGGTGAGTCTTTTAAGCACATTCTCTTGCAAAACAATCTTGAGAGTGATTGTCATGTTCACATATGGCTGCATGACCTGAATCAGGAATGAAAAGAATCCTCACCGTCTAGCCCTCTAATTTTGCTGGTTTATTTTATCGTCATTCACTTTTTATCACTGTTTTCGCATCTAAGGGAAATGAAAGATTTCATGGCACGACTTAATCGACCATCGATAGCTTTAATCGATTGCATCTCTTATTGACAATTAATCGATCATCGATTAATCGTTGACATCCCTAATCTCAACGGTTGATTGTTTTTGTACAGATTTTTCAAAGTTGTAAATAACACATTTCTTTAAAACAATTTTCACTCTGAAAAGTAAATCCTACACCTAGTGTAAGTTCCTGTAGATAAGGGAATTTAAATAAATTAAATAGTAAATAAAATGTAGAAATCAGTCCCTTAATATGACATAGCTTATTTGTCCTCGCTTAGTAGAGCACAGTGAGATTCCATGTTTGGCGAAAACTTCCTTTCTCTGAAACGTGACGGGATAAAGGGTGGTGCATATTTTGCAAATATCATTCGGATGGCCTACAGCCAGCAGCACTTCAGCACAGTGGCCTTGTTTGAAATGCTGCTGTTGTTCTTGGGCAGTGCTATCGCTCAAAGGGGTCTCTCGCTACGCCGCGTCCTGAATCAGCATATGGAAAGAATAGATCCATTAAGATAATCTGCAGAAGATTACCATCTGTTTAGAAAAGCTGAGTCTGGGTCTTTTCCTGTTAGCAGCAAAAGGAGAAACGTGGCAGGATTGAAATCTTGGTAATTGCGGTGACCTCCTTGGCACAAGTTCTCACAAGAAAACACAAGCACTCTGAGTTGGCAAATGCCAGCTGTGTTTCATATCTTTAACTGGTGGGAAGTCTGTTGAAAACGTGTAGAATAGATTGTGTTAGATTTACATTTATTTTAACAAATTATCAGGTGTTTTTATCCAAAGCGACTTGCATTGTATTCAAAGTACACATTTTGTCAATTCATGCATTCCCTAAGAGTCGAAACTATGACCTTGATGATACAAGCACTCTGCGCTACAGGAAGTAAATACAACGTTTAAAGCTGTTTTTGGCACTAATGCCCCCACGCTGGCTAATATGATGTTTCTTCTTATTTGTAACTTGTTTTTCTTGTTTGAAACCAATTAAGTAGATGGATTTAGTAGACATGCAAACCGCTTGTTTCTTCTGCCATTTTCTACTAGGGCTGATAATTCAGTTGCGTTGTGTATTTATATAAAAGCACAGCTTTTACGCTGAGATGATCTCATGGACGCAAAAGCTGTTAATCACTCCAAACACATTATCAGAGGTTGTCAGCTATGCAGTTTTGGCCAGATCTGCCATTCTTTGTAAATGAGGGTATTTAAGCACTGATTAATCATATCAAGAGTGCTTACTGGCCATTCTCCCAGATGGTGCTGGCACCAAGTAACAAATTTCCTCATCCTGAGACGTCATATCAGCCATCATCATCATCATCATTCACATCTTATTTGTCTCAAATGAGATCCTGCCTCACGTTTCCCATTGTTGTATTGAACGGTTTTGGATTTGAGTTGGACTTGACCAAAAGTGATGACAGTGATTCGCCTAGTTATGATGACTGATTCATTTAAGGTGATGATTCATTGTAAAACAGCTGTTTCAGTGACCCTGGTAAGTGTTAAAGGGTTATAGTTCCTCTGACCCTCCCATAGACAGCAGGGTAACTACCACGTTCAAGGTCCAGAAAGGTACCAAGATGATCAACAAAGTAGTCCGTGTGACATCAGTGGTTCAACTGTAAAGTTACGAAGCTACCAGAATAAATTTTTGCGCAAAAACAAAAATAACGTCTTTATTTAACATTTTCATCTCTACTGCGTCACTTGTGGAGGTGCGTTCACGACAGTATCATGACGCGAGCGTGTTGATATTTTCATCTTGCTGTGCAATGGCCAAAGCTCCATCAGCTGGTCGACTATCGTGAACAATCCCTGGTTTTGAGGGCAGACTGACTGCTCAGAAGGGTGTTAACTGGTGATCTAATTACCATGGCCTGTGTCTAGTAAACAAGAGCTGTGAAGCATACTTGTTGTTCTATTGCATGATTACCCTGTTATTACCCTATAGCCTATTACCCTAACCTAGATTTCACCTGGTGAATTGTTATAATTGATGTAATGATAAAATTGGTATAATTTAGCAAATGATGAGGCAAACTTTTGTTACCATATCCTGACTGTGTCCATTTAGATTGGAAATGGCAGAGTGACTAACATAAATGACCAGCCAGGCAGAATTTATTTGATCAAAATACAGCAAAAACAGTAATATTGTGAAATACAATTTAATATAAGTTTTCTATCTGAATATATGTTAAATATAATTTGTTCCTGTGATAGCAAAGCTGAATTTTTAGCAGCCATTCCTTCAATCTTCAGAGTCACCTGATCCTTCAGAAATCGACTACTTCACAAACATGAAACAAATTTTAATATACAGCTGTATTGATTGATATCTTGTTTATTTGTTAACAGTTGCATCAAACAAACTTTTAAACGCACTGTCACAATTGTCAGTCCACAACTTCTAGTTCTTCTTTAGACAGTGTCAATAGATCACAAGTGGTGTTATTAGTGAAAACACAACTTTGTTTCCAGGTGGTCTGATAAACCTCTCACCTGAACATTCGCTGGAATCTTCTGAGCCTAATAAGCCCAAAGAATTATCTTGAATCAAACAATCAGGCTTTGTGTTTTAAAGTAAATGCGCTGAGCAATGATGCCCTTTTAGCATTACAGTCTGTGCTTTTAAGACCTGCTCGCTTTTCCAGTCTGACTCGCTGGGCCCTTTTGAACCAGCACAATGGTTTTCCTAGCTCTCCTGTGATCACACACTGTGAGCTTGACGGACAGCTTGGCACAGGTTGAAAGCCGTATGGAAACTATGTGATTTGGGAGATTTGAAATGCTTACATGTGAAGAGGGGTTCAGTGAGTCCATGCAGATTAACTGATTGGATACCAGGCCAAACCCATCATGGGTGTCTCCATTTGACCGATTCCCCCTCTAATCTGGCGGGACCAGAATTGAGTCGGTTTTTGAGGAATGTGAGTGCAGACGATCTTAAAGTGCTTAATCCCTGTGTGGTTGTCACAACAAGATTGCCAGAGTGAAGTGTGTGTCTTAACTGAGAATAGCTCTGACCTCATTCTACATAAAACTTCCCCTGCAGGTTACTTGTCACGTGAGTTGCAGCGGGAGACTTGGTTTAGAGCGACCCACGCACCATTTTCAATTTTAATAAAAGGGGAAGTGTTATGAGGTGCCTTTGATTTGTCTTAGTCATATTTTGACTTTGACTGTCATTGTCGGGAAAATGAAACTGAAATGAACAGTAAATTAGGTCATTTAAATGTAGCAGCATGTTGTTGTTTTTTCATTTATGACGGGTAATATCAAGGTAGAACATATTTATGTATAGCAAAATTATATGTAGAATTATTTTTTTCAGTTTAACCCTTGTGCTGTGCTTAAAATCCTTTACCTAATTTGGCGTTCAAAAATGACCGCCCTTTTTAAAATTGCTTGCAAATCTCTCATTATGCTATTATCACCAAATCGTGGATTCAGTCTTTTTTATCAACTTGCTTGCTTTCAATTAGCACAGGTTTTGTATTTCTTTTGGGACTAATTGATAGTAGGCCTCATTGATCTGAACTTGTGCACTTCTGTTTTTGAGTAAATAAACAAATAAACAATCAATTAATTAAAAAAAACATTATTTGTGGATTATTTTGTCCATTTTCATTCAATACATAAGTTCAGATCAAAAAGAAATACAAACTCTTTGCTAACTGAAAGAATACAAGTTGATAAAAAAGATTGAATCCAATATTTGGTTATAATTTGGAAGTTAGTGTTGTCAATAGAATAGAATTGCAGTCTCAAAATGAAACATCAAAATGAAACAATGTAAATGTTAAAATTCTGGTAACCATTTAATAAATATCTAAGTTAACATGTTAACTTTTGTAGCCCTAAAACATTTTGTAAAATCTTTTTTCCAAAAGATTTTTTTAGTGATTTGTTTTAGAGGCTAAAGCCTAAAGCCTTTCAAAGTATACTGTATTTATTAGCATGCGCAAACACAGGTTCTCGACATGAGCTCTAGAAAGTTTCAGCTTTGTCCAGTGTCTAGGCTATTTCTCTCCAGAAGTTATAACTGAAAAATGTCTTGATTCTCATTTAAACTGGAGTTGCGGGTATCTCTTAATATTCAGAACCAGAGAAAGCCATAATGATAATGTCACTTAAATAACTGATTATTTGGGTGGCTCATGTTTTCTTCTCATCTCTTGCGCAGTCTATCCTGCTGCTGGGCAGTGTAGCTCTGGCATGCTTGGCCTTGGACCTCCTCTTCCTCCTCATCTACTCCTGCTGGCTGTGCTGCCACCGTAAGAAGAGCGATGAGCAGCCAAACGCAGACTGCTGCTGCACCGCCTGGTGCGTCATCATTGCCACCCTCGTCTGCAGGTGAGTCTGAATGCATTCTTCCTCATATCAGCGGATCGTTCAGGCAGAAGATGACAACTGTAGTCAGAGTCTCCAGAGAGATGCTTTTATCAAATGATCCCCAGCTGGAAAAATGTCATTCTGTCTGTTAGAGTGTAAAGGAAGGTGTGTATTATCTGAAGGGCTGCAGGGTTTAATTTCTGGAAGGGAAGTCATTTCTGTACTAATCTCTGTAGTTCATTTGGAGCTCTCTCTGGGGTTCGATATGGCTGTATTAACAGCTCTGATTCCTCTAGCTGCAGGCATGGGGTTATTTCTACCTGTAGCCCCAAAACCCCTCAGTGGCAAGGGCTAATGCAAGGATTATCCAAATGAAAATGTCCACTGTATGAATATGAAAGTTCATCAGGCCAGAAGCTAATTTTATAGCAGTACTGAAATGCTTAGCCAATACTGTCCTGTTTTTAGTGTGTTACTTTGGCGGCAGTTTCAACCTTTTGCACTCATTGGCTTCAGGAGAAGAAGATATTTTGAGAAATGCTGGTAGCCAAACAGTTTTGGTTACAATAGACAATGAGACATTTCTCAAAATATCTTCTTTTATGTTTCGCACAAGCAAGGAATTTATACAGGTTTGGAATGACATGATTATGAATAAATGATGACTGAATTTTTCATTTTTACATGAACTACCCTTTTAAGGTATTATCAGTGCCCAGATTTTGTTGATCAGTCCATCTGGTAAAGAAGTTAGTAAGTGGTAAGAAGGTTGATCAGATGAGTGCTTTTGATGAAGAAATAATCACTGGAATTGCCAGAGTTTGCCAGATTAATGGCATCAGAGTTTGAGTAGGAAGTGAACTAGATATCCATGAGACATTCAGTTTCTTATTCAGGCAGCTGAACTTGAACCAAATTGCTTGCCGGGATTCTCTTCAGACTGTTGCTCTGGAACCACAGATAACCCGTGATTTCGTTTGAGTTTTCCTTCTTTTCCTCACTTTCCTTTGCTTTTAAATAGCTTGTAAAAGCGCCGTGCGCATTTTACTTTCATTTTCAAATTAGCCGCAATTTGGCGTTGATTCAATTCAAGCAACAACAAAATACATCGTCAAACTCATAGAACTTTTATTAACAAAACAAATAAAAATACACCATGCTATATGCCTAATATAAAATAACAAATTACTTAGGCTACACAGTTTAAATAGGTATACAAAAATGAAAATCAGCAAACACTGTGGAACCAAATAAATAAGAAACATAGAACGTTTATTAGCAAAACGAATAAGAAAGCTTGGAGGCACGGCATACACCTTGATGTAAAGTAAAATAAAATTAATAAAATACACAGTTTAAATAAAGTAAAAATCAGCTAACACTGTAGAACCAAATAAATAAGAAATGAATATAAAAAAAAAAAATTTTAAAAAAACTTCCAAAATCACTTTAGATAAATGGCAAAAGGCTTTTCAAAATCCAAAATATTGCCAAACAGGCGCTTTTGCATTTTGTTTCGAAACTAAATCTTCCGCTATCGTCTTGTCTGTCTCACCTCACCATTCTTGTCAGTCAGCTCGACTCGCTCCTCACTTGATAAATGAAATCTGACTCCTGCTCCTGATCTGTGATGCCACTGTTGTTCAGCACGCTGCATTGAGCAGCCGCTTTGGTTTTTAATTGTGACTGTTCTCTAACGGAACTAAAGGATTTTTATTACTATAAAAACGAAATCATAACAACGGTGGGGGGCGGTGCCGTTTTGGGCAAATGACATTACCGGTAAACACTGACTTTCGCAGCAAGCCTCTGGTGAGAAGTGATGAACATGGAAATGCAGAGGAGAGAGCAAAACAAAACACCAGTCATGAACTAGAAGTACAAAACAAGGTTTTGTAAAGAAAAATGACAGGATTTCGATATGCATGTACGACAGTTAGCGGAAGCTAGAGATTGCGGTTTCTAAAGTTTTAAATATGGATGTTTTTCTTACACAAACACTTCACTTGGCTTCAGAAGGCCTTTATTAACTCCACGGAGCCATGTGGAGCACTTTTTATGATGGATGGATGCACTTTATTGGACTTAAAAATCTCGACTACCATTCACTGCCATTATAATGCTTGTAAGAGCCAGGACATTTTTTTAATATAACTCTGATTGTATTCGCCTGAAAGAAGAAAATCTTATACACCAAGGATGGCTTAAGGGTGAGTAAATCATGGGATAATTTAAATTTTTGGGTGAACTATCCCTTTAAATGTGTTTTTTTTTCTTAGCTTTTGGCCAATTATGTCTTCTTAGTAGGGCTGTCAAAATTTTTTTCGAATTTCGAATATTCGTCGAAATTAAAATAAAAATCCACATTCGAATGCAAAAACGTTTCATTCGAATTTTAGGTGTACATCAGGCAGCAGCCTTATCAGTGGCGCACGAAATGCGATAACAATGTAAATGTCATTGCATTGTAATGTTTTTCATAGCTTATCCAGTTGAAGCCACTAGATGCGGCACTGCTACGTTGTTCATTCAAAATATTGCGGAAAAAGAGAACTTTTTATTTTATTCCTTTGAAGAAACGTCCATAAGTAATATTTTGCTCGATGTGCCCTCTTGTGGCCTCAGGAGAGAAGCCAAAAGCTGTTTTTGGTCCTTTGTATTAAACTATACATACATGCATGAATGATGCTGTTTTGTTTCTAATTGTTTAAGCACCTTTTAGGGCTGCACGATAAATCGCATGCGATATTTAACGCGCATCTTGTCAGTAACCGAATGTTCGGCAACTGAAATTATTCGGCTGAAAATAGCAAAAAGTGAAAAGGCCGAATAATATGTACCGAACAACGCGATCAAATAGAGGCACGCACTAATGCAGCAAACATGTCGGCAGTGTGAAAGTATTTAAAACTATCAGAGAAAGAAGCAGAAATCATTATAAGCACGAAGCACCGACAGCGAGAGACTATTTAGTGCTGCATCACATGTATCCTATGAGATGAAGAGGTGGCTGATGCTGGTGGTTAGGCTACTGTATGATGATTGAAATCGCGAAATTACCTCAAACGATTAGTAAATAAACTGCAGAATCATGGGCGACATTTGACTCTTGAATCAGGGGGGGCAAGAAAAAAAAAAGATGTATGTATATATATATATATGAAATTAATAAATAAAAGCAAACGGTTTTTTTTTTTTTTTGATGTAAGTAAATCAACATATTTTAAGTTCCGTCCATTGCCAATCACTGCTATTTCGAGAGTAAATCCCGCATAAATATGCGGATGTCATTCCCGAAACTTTGCAGGGTGTAGCCTATGTGTTCGAAAAACTAAAGTTTCATACAAATTCTGAATGGATTATACCCTAGAAATTGCACAAAGCGCGCTCCCTTCATCACTAAAAAGCGTCACTCATCTTCGTTCATCACGATCTTACAAAGTTCCGTTATAATAAATGAAGCTTTCTAAACTGCATAATGAATCT